GACCTGAAGAGTTTCAATGTCTATGCTACTCCGTGTGTGTGTGTGCGAGAGAGAGAGAGAGAGAGAGAGAGAGAGAGAGAGAGAGAGCTCTGTGCCTTGGCTGGGGAGGGCAGATCTAGCCCAGCAGGACTGGGTGGTGAGAAGCCCAGAGAGCAAGGAGGCGAGTGTCATTGGCCTTGTCAGCCCTCTGGGAAGCCCCCCCAAGGGGTCTTCTGTGACCCCCCCCGGGCACACTCAGCCCCTCGGGAGGAGCCTCATTTCCCCAGCCATGAGCATGTTTTCCAGCCAGTTGTTGAGGAGAAGCCCTGTGCACTGGTAGAAAGGGGGGGCACAGGGGTCCCGCATTGTGGGGGGAGCCCCCAGGAGGAAGCCTGCTGGTGGCTCCCAGGGCGTGCGTGGCGAAGCACGAGCTCCAGCAGCCAATCCGCTGTCTGCCTGCAGAGCTCTGCAATTGCACCGGGACACCGAGTCATCCGACGGCTCCAGCCCCAAGGAGACAACTGTGAAAATGGGGGAGGAGGCTTTTCCCGCACTCTCTTCTCTCTATTTTGAGACCGTTCGTTTGTTTGTGCCTTTGCCTGTTTGTTCAGAACTGCTCCTAGCCGGTCAGAGCAGGGACCCACATGCGGGAGGCTGCTCCCTCCCATCATAACGCAAAGCAAGGGCAGGGTGCCAGGAAAATGGGATGTGCCTGGAATGGGATTGCTTCTCATACACCCCTACGGAATAGAGACAATCACCAGGCAGATGAAATGGGGCCCCCTCCCTTTGAGCCTGTCCCAGCTCTGAGCTTCTCGCCCCTCCCCAGCACCCTTTAGGGACAAAGGGGAGGATGAAGCTCCCCCCCCAAAGCGGGTTCCCTGGAAGCTGGGCCCCCATCTGCATTTTCCTCACATCTGAAGAATTTCAGGGTCTGTGCTGCTCCTGGGGGGCTTGGGGGGGAGGAGGGGATGTGTGATCTCAGCTCGGTGCCTTGGCTGGGGATGGGCAGGAAGGGAAGAGCAAACAGCCGTGGTACCAATCGGAGTTAAGGATGGAGTGAGGAGTCTACAAGACAAACTGTGACAAGACAAGAGTTTACATGACAAATTGTGTCAGACTAGGAGTCTCCATGAAGTTGAGATAGGAGGCGTTGTAAGGGTCTTACAGGTGTTTGGGTTCTCCCGCTGCTCCTCCGAAGCACAGTGTAACTGAACACAGCCGCTCCTTCCCCCGCACAGGAGCCCCCCCCATCACTTCCTTGGAAGGACCCAATGCAGCATTGTCTACGTCTCAGGAAGTTCTTCCTGCGAAGGCAGCGGTGGTTGGGGCATCTCCCTGCCCAGACCCTGGGATTCTGTCCACACAAAGCAATGAACAGGAACCAGATGGCCACCACCCTCAGCCTGAGTCCCCTCCCAGCAGGGCGGGCGTGTGGCTGGGGAGGGAGCTATACAGGCTGGGCTGTGCAAAAGAACCACTGAGGGGTGAGCAGGTTGATGGGAGCTGGGAGACACACGGTCCCACAGCTCCAACCCCAGAACTCCCTCCCAAGCAGCCCTGGGTTGCGATGTCACTTCAACCCATTTCACGGAAGGTAGGTCAGGGTAGAACTTGGCTCCTGTGAATAGCGCTCGCCTGCGCAGGGTGCTGGGTTACTAATGGTGGAAAGACCAGCACCTGTGTAAGATCAGCCCTGCTACCTGCTAGGAAATAACAGGGAGTGCACAACGCATGTGCACCGACAGCTGACATGGGTTTGTCCTAGTAACTACCGTTGAATTGTAACCACTGTTGCCAGTTGTCACCAGCACAACCAGTTCGTATGATTTCAATAATTGTTTCTAATGTAAAGTTTTCAATTAGGACAAACAATATCGAAGGGTGAGCACTAAAAACTGTGCTACCTTAAATGTAGCAAGTGTGAGCACAAATATCTGCTACCTTAAATGTAGTGGGGAAAGCACTCTGCACTACAGATTTCTATTACACCCTCGACAAAAGTACCATCATCACCGACCAATACACACAAATCTGACATACAAACACAATAGCAAAAAAACATGGTGGGGGGAAGCTGAGATTTTCAGCACTATTTTATTTCTGTCTGTCAAATTTCAAAGAAAAGAGGCTTTCCAAATTTTGAACTGTAAAAATGTTGATCATCTATTGTAAAAACCTGATTCATGCTCCCCTTAAAAGTACTGTAGCTCCCACTGCTGGTTTTACTTTGTCTCTGACATTCAAAGTAGCAATGCCCTGGCAAGCTAGCAAACCTGCGTTTAAGGAAGTCGAGATACAAGTTTCTGGGTTGGATAGTGGGAGCAGTGGTAAGCTGCGGCTGATCAAGTACTCACATGCAAAGCACTTGAATCCCCTGTCCCAGCCCTGGCCCCCCTCCCACACATCACCTCCACTCTGGTGCCCAGTGTCACATTACTGAATTTGAGGGAAGCAGCCAGATCACTGCTGCACCCATAGGTGGGGGGCGGGTATAAAATGGTATAAAAGGGGGCCATGTGAGGTGTTGAATAGAAGCTTGCTGTCTGCTTATCCTGTGTACGCTAGTCATGTGATTGTATAATGCCTGTGCGTGAGTTATAAGTATGTACTTTGTGCGAGTATTAAATATTTCCCTGCATGTGGTTGAGCATTAGGCAGAGCCCAGCCTATGGACATGTTAATTAGCGAGGCCCTGTGGAACAATAGCACTCAATGGGCCAAGGACACACCTCAGGAATGAGGCCTGACACCTAAGGGCTACCAGCAGGGAACATAGGGATAGGATGCTGGGCAAGTGACCTGCTGCAGCCAAGGAGAGACCAGGAAGAAGGGATAAAGATGCCATGTGACTGACTCCATCTTGGTCTTCAGATCTGCTTCTGACCCCAGATGCGGCCTCGCAGGGAATCAGAAGCCAGGAAGACCTGTAGACCCATCCTGCTATAGGATGAGCAACAAGGACTTTTAAGCCAGGAGCTGTAACTGTGACTTTTAAGCCAGCTAGAGTCTGCGTCAAGAACAGGGAGATTCGATGCGTGCAATGTATGATTCTTTAGCAACCTCACTCTCATGCTTTTCTTTCTGCAATAAACCTTTAGATGTTAGATTCTAAAGGATTGGCTCAGCGTGATTTGTGGGTAAGGTCCAGAGGGTAAATTGACCAGGGATCTGTGGCTGGTTTCTTGGAAACAGATCTTGTTTTGTGTAGGTGGGATTGGGTTCTAAGACCCCCCCCCCCCCCCCTGTGTATGAGGCCCAGGGCCATCTGGGGCACGGATATTGCTGGGGTGCCGGGGGGGGTTTGGTCG